ATTTTTTGAGGTCTAATTTATATAAGATGAAACACACAGATCAATGAGTTTTAAAAACTGCATATACTTGTCCAATCCACACCTCTTGATAGGAATGTGGGTCACATGCATGTATCCATTTCCAATGCCAGGAATTTCCCAAATGGCCCTTCCCAGTCCACCCTTCCTGACTCAGCCAATCAGTGTTCTTATTTGTTTTTCCATAGAAATAAATCCTACAACTGCTTGCCTGTCCTACAATTTCATATAAACGGGGTCATACAGTAAACACCTTTTGCATCTAGTATCTTTCACTAGCATAATGTTTTTTGCAATTCATTCATGTTATTACCCGTCAGTAGTTCTTTCCTTTTTATTGCAGAGTAGTATTCCATTGTATAAATAAACCACAAATTGTTTATCATTCAAAAATTGTTAGGCATTTGGGTTGTTTCCAGTTTGGGGCTATTGTAAATGAAACTCCTCAGAACATTCTTGTGAAAGACTTTTTTGTGGACGTATGTTTTCATTTCAATGGGTAAATGCTTATTGTTGGGTCCGCGCTGAAAGAAAACAGTCCAAGAGACGTTGTGAGAGCTGAAGAAATCTTATTACCTTATGTCACCCTGGCTGAGACCAGTGTGTGGGTGTCAGCCCAAGGGGATGGGTAGGTTCTCTTATTTAGGGTCAGGATGTGGGTGCGAGGTTGGTCAAGGAGAGGGGAGGGCATGAGTCACTCAAGCGAGTCAAGGGAGGAGAGTGCACAGGTCAGGCAGGCGAAGAGAAGTTCATCTTATCTTGCTTCCATGGGGGCCGCCAGCAGGCACTGCCATCTGCCCCGAGCTATGGGGAAAAGGTTATAACAACATATATTACATGCCTAAGCAGGAGAGATTAGGGGTAGTTCATCCTAATACTTATAAGCAGAATTTTGGGGCGTAGGTTATGTGCATGTTCAGCTTTTGAGAAATCACCATCTTCCAATATGATTATACCCTTTTTACACTTCCATCAGCAACGCATGAGAGTTATGATAATTCAATCTCCTTGCCTACGTTCAGTACAGGACTTTAATTTTAGCTGTTCTAGTAGGCATGAAGTAGATATCATTGTGATTTTACTTGAGTTTCCCTGTGATGTTGAACAACTTTTCATGAACTTTTTGGCCAGAGGAATATCTTATAGGAAGTGTCTTTTTATGAAATGTTTGTGAAGTTCAAGTATTTTGCCCAGTTTTTATTGGCTTGCTTATATTTTGATTATTATTTTGTTGGATTGTTTAAATATTCTGGATACAAGACTTTTGACAGATATATGTATTGTGAATATTTTCTCCCACTCGGTGGCTTGCTATTTAATTAATTAAATAATTAATTAAATTATTATCTATGTACATATTTTACCATTGGCCCCCCCCATGCATACCCAGAGTTTTGTGTCCATTGGTTGTACTTATATACATGTATACAAGTCCTTCGGTTGATCTCTTATCTCCCCCAGATCTCCCTCCCCTCCCTGCTGTAATTTGACAGTATGCTTGTTGCTTTACTGTCTCTATATCTATCTTTTGGTTCATCAGTTTATGATGCTCTTTATTATCCATAAATGAGTGAGGTCATGTGGTGTTTCTCTTTCATTGATTGGCTTATTTCACTCAGCATGATGTTCTCCAATTCCATCCAGGTTGCTGCAAATGATGAGAATTCCTTCTTTTTATGGCAGCATAGTATTCCATTGTGTTGATGTATCGTAATTTTTTGATCCAATCATCTGCTGACAGGCACCTAGGCTGTTTCCAAATCCTAGCTATTGTAGATTGTGCTGCTATGAACATAGGGGTGCATATATCCTTTCTGATTGGTGTTTCTAGTTTCTTGGGCATTTAATTTTCTTAACAATTTCTCTGATGAACAAAGGTTTTTAATTTTGATGAAGTCCAATTTTTCAGTCTTTTCTGTTGGAGTTCATAATTTTTGTGACCTCTTTAAGAAATATTTCCAATTCTCAAAAAAAAAAAAAAAAAAAAGAAACATTTCCAATTCTCAAAGGTATTTTCCAACTGGTTCTTCTGAAGACTTTATAATTTAGTTTTATATATATTTTATAGTTGAATCTATGATCCATCTAAAATTAATTTTATGTCAGTTTGAGGAATGAGTAGAGGCTCTCTGCTCCTAGAGGTTTACATAGTTATCCCAGGGACATTTGCTGAAAAGACTGTCATTTCCTCACAGAATAGCTTTGGCACCTTTGTTGAAAGTCAACTGATGCTGAAACTGGTTTGGCTCAGTGGATAGAGCATTGGTCTGTAGACTGAAAGGTCCCAGGTTCGATTCCGGTCAAAGGCATGTACTTTGGTTGTTGGCACATCCCCAGTAGGGGGTGTGCAGGAGGCAGCTGGTCGATGTTTCTCTCTCATCGATGTTTCTAGCTCTCTATCCCTCTCTCTTCTTCTCTGTAAAAAAAAAAAAAAAAAAAAAAAAAAAAAAAAAAAAAATCAATAAAGTATATTTAAAAAAAAGAAAGTCAACTGATGAGTGGGTTTCTTGATTCCATTCCATTCCATTGACCTACTGGTCTGTTCTTAGATCACTACTAGGCTGTTTTGATTACTGTAACTTCATAGAACATTTTGAAGTCAGATGTTATGAATTAGAGCAAATGAGATGCATCAAACACTTGAGGAATTCAGAAGGAGAGGAGACCATAGGGCAAATTAGTTGAAGATGACTTCAGAGAGGAAATGGGATTTGAACTGGGTCTGAAGCAGAGGTTGGGTTTAAGTGAAGAGGAGGAGAAGCTATTACCACTGAGGGAAAAGCATGTGCAAAAGTGCTGGGGTGGAAATGGACACTTCCTGTTTGGAAGACAGGAAAGAGCCCAGTGTGGGGAAGGCTGGGGAAGAGAACTAAGATGTAATGCGAAGAGGGCTCTGATTACCAAGCTGAGGATACTGGGGTTCTGGGTTTGGCATACCCACCTCTAATGGTAGATCTGTGATGCTATCTTGGTGCTCACGAAGACTTTTTCTACTTGGCCCATGCTCTCTGAGTAACATAGGAAGGAGTTTCCAGGCCATATCTTGCACAACTTTGAAATTGGCCTTGGGCACTCTTGGTTTTCTCTTGGGGGTTTCCTTTCTTGATTGCCTCTGTAGCCCAGTCAGTCCTCCAAAGCAGCAGTTCTGTTTTTTTTCAGACTGGTGGCCAGCGGTGTGGTAATTTGGTTTCTTTGTAGGAAACCCTGGCCTAGCTCCACCCTCCCTGTCCAGATCAAAGAGTCTACACATCCTTAATTTAAAACAAGGACACCACCTTTTCCAAATGAGTAGCATGAAACAGAGAACCCTCTGTCTACAAATCAACATTGATATTGAGTATTTGAACCTATTCATTCACTCAGGAATCTTGGTTTTCGTTGTTCTTGTTTCATGCATCTGGCTGGGAACACAATAGGTGGCTTCATCTTTCAGAATTTTACTGTATTTAAGCTGGATGTGTGTGTGTGTGTGTGTGTGTGTGTGTGTGTGTGTGTGTAAGTGTGTGTGTGTGTGTATGGTCTAAGATGTGAAAGAAGCCACAGGCACTTGTAGTGGAGCTGGGACAGCAAAGCTACTCACCAAACAGCGAACTCAGAAGCTGGGAGCTCTGGTTACTCAGAAGGCTTCCAGAAAACTTGGAAGTGGAGGGACTGGATTGGATTCAGGAGAGTAAAATGTAAGCATCATCTTAGAGTTGCCACTGAGCTCTGCTTTTCTCGGGGCAGTAAGAGACCTACCTGGCTGAGACAGAAGAGTTGGTGCATGGAGGAGGTGGGTAGAGAAATGAAGCTTTAGTGGAGGCCATTTTTAAGGCTTCCCAAGGCCTAAATCTGTGCTCAAACAGCAGCTAGCAATGGAATTAAGTGTATTTCTAACTTAGATTTATCTACATGTCTATCTATATAATTTGTTATATGTATAATAATGCCTGTGTTAATGCAGTGGGACTTATAGCCAGTTTAGTTTCTGAAAGCCACGTTGACATCAGCCTCAGATGTTGGTTCTGCTGGACCTCTTTGGGACCTACCAATCTGCTCAGCCAGGCAATGACAAATGGCAGCAAATGGAAGAGAGGACTTCTGCTTCTCCATGTCCTAGGCTAGGTAGAAAAGTGTCTTCAGGTGTCCCCCATCCACTCCAGGGAAGAGTTGCACCTCTCTCAGCTGACTGGGATGTGGGGAATGATCTGGTTGAGCTGGGCTGGGGTGAAGGAGCTCAAAGCTCTCAGGATCACCCTCCCTGAGGACTAAAGCCAGAGTCAGCAAGCTAGTGTAAGCATTTGGGGATAGAAACGAGGGAGCCAGCCTTACTTTACAGGGGCCACTTTAGTGGCTGTTCCTTAGAGTCAACCTGATTGGTTGGTTTGGGGAGTTGAGGGAACTTTGAATTTTATAATGTACCTCATCTAAGGCTAATGCTTTGGAAGGCTTGGGCAGATTCCTCCAACCTTGGAGCACTAGTAGAGTAAAATAGGAATAAACTGCTAATTTTAAATTTAAAAAAATTCTCCCCTCTTTCCCCCCAACCAAACTGGGACCATGTGGAGCATGCTGATTGCTGGCTTCCCTCCATGCTTCCCAGTGGGAAGCCAGACCTTCAGAGATGCTTGCCCTTTGCAGCAATACCTTTGACCCTGGGCTTATTGGTTTTATGAGAAGAGATGTTAAGGTCAGGCTCTCATGTTCCCAGTCCTGGCCTGATTTAGGACGCTGGTAGCAGCCCAGAGCCCTGAAAATTCCCTCATCCATGTGCCTCTCAGTCCTCGGCCACTTCCTTCCTGTTTTGTGGCCCCTTCAGTTTCATAATTTTAAAAATTCTTCCACAGCTACATGCATTCTTACTTCTTCTATTTTGGTCTCATATGCCTTGGAGGTAGCGTGTTTTAAGAACTTCCCATTGTGGGCTTCCCCCATATCTTCAGGCCTCGGGGCTTCCATCTGTGCTGTTCCTGGTCTGACAAGGATGGTTTCTTTTTCACCAGAGTCCGGACATCCTCAGCACCATTGGCTATGACAGTATCATCCTTCATCTGAACAATGGCCGCAAGAATTGCAAAGAGTTTGAAGACTTCTTAAAAGAAAGGTACACACTATTTCCTATCTGAAGACAGAGGGAAGACAGGATGCTTCCACACTAACAAGGAACAATTCACTGCTTCATGGGACTTGCTCATCTGTTGTGGGATGCTTATGGGACCTGGGACTTGGTCTGCCGAATCTGGGTCATAGGCTAATGTTGCTTCATGGTTGTGTTTCATGGTTCACAAGACCCCCTGCACTAAGTTATGGGATGCTCCCCAAGACATAAATGATATTTTTGTCCTAAAGTTCTTAAAAACCAGTTGGAGAGATAAGACTTATGAGTGAAGCACCAAACAAAATGTAATAAAGCATTAAGTTGTGTGATACCCATGACACTGGGGACCTGACAGGAGAGGGAGATTGTGGAGGACTGGCCAAAAGAGGGGGGTGTGGGAGCTTCGTGGAGGAGGAGATCCTTGAGGTGGCGCTCTGAGGGTTTGGTGGATTTGATAGGTAGAGGTATATCCAGATATATGTGGGGGAACAGTACACTTGAAAATGAGAATGAGCATGACCCATGTGGTGAGTGGGGGCACGGGCAGAAGAGGGGCAGAGCCTGATTCAGAGACCACTGGGGATCAGGGAGCAGTGACAAAAATGTGGGACAGGTCATGGCACTCCACATGGCAGTATGGCTCGGTGGCAATGGAGATACTAGTTTGCCTTATAGGATTCTCTTTCCTTTTTTACTTTCTTTAAAAATTTAGTTATTTATTTATTGATTTGAGAGTGACAGCAAAATGAGAGAAGAAATATTTCAGTTCGTTGTTCCACTAATTTATGCATTCATTGGTTGCTTCTTATATGTGCCTTGACTAGGGTCGAACCTGCAACCTTGGTGTATTGGGACGATGCTCTAACCAACTGAGTTACCTGCCAGGGCTTGTTTTCTTTTTCTTAATGTGTATGATTTTATTTTATTTTTTAATTCTATACTTAATGAAGTGAGTTAGTGTATGGAACTTTCTCATCTGGAATACTCCATTGTGATTCTGAATGGAGTGCTTTGCGGAGGTGGTGGCCAGGTCAGGGCTCTTAATTGTGTATTGCATCACAATACTGAGTAGGGAGGAGGGAAGCATGCTTGTGGAACATCTTTAAGCATGGAATCCTGCACCACTTGTAGATTAGAGGGAATTTGTATTTTAGAGAGTGGTATTTTATCTGAGCTGCTCTCAAAGATGCAGTTTTGCCTTCAAAGGGCCTGAGAGTCAGCCCTGAGGAGGACTTATAATCCTCTCTTCTGTTCCACTTAGGGCGTCAATTGAAGAGAGATATGGCAAAGATCTGCTCAACCTCTCTAGGAAGAAGCCATGCGGACAGTCTGAGATCAAGTAGGTGCCACACTTCTTTCTGGTTTCCTGGTTGGTTCTACTGCCGAGGCCCTTCACTTCAGACGAAAGAGCTGGCCAGGAGGGCGAAGTGTCTTGGATAATGACAACTTTTAACTTATTTCATTTCAGTTGTGAAAAATTTGGAAAAAATAGAAGGTTAAAGTGAACTATGAAGCTACAACTCATTATTAATATTTTTAAGTTTCCCTTGAAGTCCTTTTCTATGTATACTTTTCATAGGTCGGGTTACATTATATATAACTTTATAGTAGAAATTTAATAGTCTTACACACACACACACACACACACACACACACACACAGATGCACGCATGCCTATATACACATACATAGTTTGTGATAACTATAAGAGACTGTTTTTGCACCATTTATAGTTCTCACTACCAATGTGAGATTTCTATACTACAGTTATTTATTCTTCCATCATTCCTGGCTTCATGGGCAGTCAGTCATATAAGAACCAATATTTAGAAAGGTTTTATAATCAGCTTAATGCTCTTTGCTGTCACCTTTGAAATTCTTAATAGTGTATAAACAGGGGATCCCAGATTTTCATTTTGCAGCATATCTCACACATTTTGTGGCCAGTTCTTTGCATATGGAAATTTCTAGATTATTTCTCCAAAATAAGAATGTTGTTGGGGGTGTGGGTGGGGGATCGGGAGAACTAATTCAGACTTTGCAGGCCTCTGCAGACCCAATCACATTACATACTGACCTGCATACTGCTTTGCTGTGCTATTTATAGCTGCAAAGAGGTCTGTGTCCTCTCAGAGATCTGAATGGGGCAGTCATGATATTGTCATTCCTCTTCTCTTGCTTCTAAAATACATGCATACACACATGCCCACATGCATTCCAAGATTACAAAGTACTAGATCAGTGAAAATGACAAAAATGTTGGGAGATAGGTAAAATATTTATAGTTGTATAAGCCTAAAAATTTGTTACCCACAGACATAGGACATTAATACAAAGAAAAATTTTTTAACTTAATGATTATTTTTTATTTTTTATGTTGTAAATGAAAAGTTTAAAAACATACTGAACTCTGACCGGTGTGGCTTAGTTGGTTGAGCATAGTTCTGTGCACCGAAAGGTCACAAGTTTGATTCCCGGTCAGGGCACATATTCAGGTAATGGGTTTGATCCTGGTTGGGGTGTGTGTGGGAGGCAACTGATGTTTCTCTCTCACATTACTGTTTCTTTCTCTCTCTCTCTCTCTCTCTCTCTCTCTCTCTCTCTCTCTCTCTCTTCCTCGATCTCTAAAAAAATAAATTAAAATGTATTAAAATAAAAAATAAAATAAAAACACATTGAAAGGAAAAAGACAAACATAAGAAACCCACCACCTAGATTTCATAATTATCCACATTTGCCATATTTTGTTCATATAACTTTGGGACTTTAATTAAATCCTGAAACAGCTATTTCTCAAAATATACTTAGCTCCTTTTAATGACCAATCAGTCATGTTTAGAGATGAGACTCTTAAATTCTGGCATTGATCATGTCACAGAGATGTCCCTGCTTCTAGGGGACAGATTTTAAAAACATGAGTTCATATTAATATTTCCAATTCCAATTTCTCTTTACAGGGTTTTACTTAGCTTCCTTAATTTTATATTCATTTCCTCTTAAATGGGAAATCTTACTTCCTGACAATATTAGCATAATTATTTGTTTTTTATGATAATATATATCAAAACTTTTCAAAATAATATCACTATTGTTACTAACAAGAAAACTTGTGAAAAAAGTTCACCCTTTTCTTGCAGTTCCTTTTGATCTCAGGCTATATTTCACTAAGAATCCTGTGTTCTAAGGTCACTTAAAATTTTATTTTCTCTGTGTCATTATGTAACCAATTTTATATTAAGTTCATTTCAGTTTGTTTTAAAATTTAAGGATTCTTTTCTTTTTTTCTGTTTGATTTAGTTTTATTTTTTGAATATGTAAAATATTTACATGTTCACAGGTCAAAACCGGGTAGACTTAGGCAAGCTGCACTGTTATTCCAGCAGATTTTTAAAGATTAGTGGGGTCAGCTGACACCCCTACCTCCCAAAAAACAACCAACAACACTTATTTATAAAATATATAAGGTGTTTGGCAAAATATCCAAAACCTTTTGAGGTGATGTGATGTGTAATAGCCACATTCTCTCACATAGTTCTTGGAAAATATATTTAGTGGAATGAGTTTGATCCAAAATGGTGTTTCTTATATTGTTACACAGTTGACTGAGTAAATTCATAGAGAGACTCTGGCCCCGTTCTCTTCTGTCCCGTGAGAAAAGCCAGTCAGTTCCCTAATTTATGATTACACACCTCAGAGAGGAACACCCAGTAGGAGATGAGAAATGGGGGCCTCGCTGCCAGGTTGAAGTGAAAGGCCATTTAGGTGACTTGTTTTTGTCACCTCCAGGATTATCTTTAGAAAGTGCCCTATGAGAGTGAGTGACTTTGCTTCTCTATGGGCTAGGTAGGATTTGTCACCTCATCAGCTTTACTGAGGGCCTCTGGCCTCTGATGGGCCTACTTAGGGTTTAAGGCCAAAGTGCTTGTCAAAAGGGTGGTAGAGCCCTGACCATTGTGCTCAGTGGTTAGAGCACCTGCCCATACATTGAAGGGTCTTGGGATAGATTCCCGGTCAAAAGCATGTACCTGGATTGCAGTTCAATCCCTGGTCCAGGTCTGGGAGGCAATCAATCAATGTGTCTCTCTCACGTCAATCTTTTTCTTCCTCTCTCTCTCTCCCTCTGTTCTCCCTCCCTCCCACTCTCTCTAAAAAATCTATGGGAAAAAAATATTCTCAGGTGAGGATTAACAAAGAAAAAAAAAAAGTTGGTAAACTATTTCCTTGATGCAAAGTAATGAAGAACAGCAGGGAGACGAGGAGATGACCATTGCCAGGCTGCCACCCCCAGAGTTAGATTCCACCCCCCACCCTGAAGTCTTGATCTTTTGCTGTCCTTTTAAGCTTGGGGGCTAAGATGAGTCTAGAACTGTGGGCCAAGGGGTATATGCAGTGGCATTAGAAGGAGATTGTACAGCCAATTTCCAGAACTTGACATTATATATGTACTTGTTTTTTAGCACCCTGAAGCGAGCCCTTGAAGTCTTCAAGCAGCGTAAGTGATTCTTTAAAAATGTATTTACTGTCCTTGGCAAGCTCTGCCTGTCATCAAAAGGTGGATTTTCATTTGAACAGAAATCTCACATTGGGTGGAAAAAATGAAAGCAACTCCTAAGGTGAGAAATAGCTCTGCAGAGTTGACATGAGCTGGAGAACCTTCCACACCTGCATGTCGGGCTGTGCATTTGACTTCCTTACAGAAGTGGTTCTCACACTTGAAGTCCAGGTTGAGGCTCTGGCATTTGGTCGTCAAAGGGTCCTGTCCAGTTCTAATAGTTCCCAGGCCCGTTACTCAGAAGCTCCTTTTGAGGCTTTCTGTTCTTCAGAATACTTGGTGCTTCCAAACTGAGGAGTTTAACCAAGGCACGGTATGTACCTGTGCCCAAAGTGTTTCTGTAGCCAGTTGAATGGTTCTAGAGCTTGGTAAGGTTAACCAGATAAATATTCATCTTAACTTTTCCATAGGTGTCCTCTTCCTTTTTTAACTCATCAATGAATGCATTTCTCAAGATGTGGACAGTGTCTTCATGTTTCTTGCATGCCCACAAGGCCAACCATGGTTAGCCCAGGGGGACTTCAGCATAGGCTGGGTCTCTTCAGCATATTTATTTGCTGTTATTGTCCTTGTTTTCTTTTTTCCCAACAAGTAGCTTCATTTTATTATTAAAAATAGATATTTATATTAAAAATTCAAATGAGACAACTAACTGTGAACAAGATAGCGAACACCCAAGTATTCAGTTCTTAGTACTAAGCAGTTATAGGTGAATATGCCTCCAACATTTTTATACCATATACACAGTTATGTTTGTATCTATTCAGATAAATAAATAGGATCACACCATGGCAATGCATCAATATCTATGGGGTGGAGCTGGTTTGGCTCAGTGGATAGAACATCAGCCTGAGGATTGAAGGGTCCCAAGTTCAATTCTGGCCAAGGGCACATGCCTGGTTTGCAGGTTCTTTTCCCCCACCCCTCAAGTAGGGGGCATGCAGGCGGCAGCCAATCAATTATTCTCTCTCATTGATGTTTCTATCTCTCTCTTCCTCTCCCTTCCTATCTGAAATCAATAAAAATATATACATATATTAAAAAAAAACTTTACCAAAATCTATGGGGTGGCACATATGTTCCTAAATTGCTTTTAAAATGAAAAATATCAATTTTTAATCATGCTAGCAGTTTGGTATATATTTTTCCAGACCTTTATCTATGCATTTACAGCTCTTAGTCTCTCTCTCCTTTCTCTCTAATTGCAGTCACATACACATGTACAGACATACATGAGAATATACTATGCATATTCTCTATAATTTAGTTTTTCAATTGATAGGATAACATAGACATCTTTCCATTTCAGTTCATGTGGATCTGCCTCATTCTTTTTTAAAAAAAATATATTTTATTGATTTTTCACAGAGAGGAAGAGAGAGGGATAGAGTTAGAAACATCGATGAGAGAGAATCATCGACCAGCTGCCTCTTGCACACCCCCTACTGGGGATGTGCCCTCAACCAAGATACATGCCCTTGACTGGAATCGAACCCAGGACCTTTCAATCCACAGGCCAACGCTCTATCCATTGAGCCAAACCAGTCCCGGCTCTGCCTCATTCTTTTACATTAAATTTTTTTTGATCCTACAAAATGCCAAATTTCTTCCAGAAAGGTTATATTGATTTCCCCCCTTTCAGCAGTACTGTTTTTCTCCAGGTTCTCCAATACCACAAATTTTAATACTTAAAAATTTTGTCAAACTGAAAGATAAAAAATTATGTTTCTGTGTTTTATTTAATTTTTAATCCTCACCTGAGGATATGTTTTTATTGATTTGAGAGAGAGAAAGAGAAGAAGGAGAGAGGGGAGGGAGTGAGGGAGAGTGGGGGGAAGAGAGAGAAAGAGAGAGAGAGAGAGAGAGAGAGAGAGAGAGAGAGAGACATTGATCGACTGCCTCCCACACATGCCCTAACCAGGGATCGAACCTGTGACCCTTCGGTGCACAGGATGACACTCCAACCAACTGAACCACACTGGCCAGGGCTATTTCAATGTTTTAAAATTTTGCATTTTTGTGTTAAGGCTGAATATCTTTTCTAATGTTTATAGGCCATTGAGCTGATTTTTTTTTTTTTTTTTTTTATATTTCAAGTTCTTTAACCAACTTTTTATACTGGGATATATATATTTCTTTTGTTTTGTGAATACTTTTAATATAGTTATTTACTTTTTTGTTATACAAATTGCAAATACCTTTTTTTGGTCATGTATCTTTTAACCTTGTTTAAGTTATCTTGACACAGACAAATTAAAAAATATTTTTAGATCAGATCTCTTAGTCTTTCTAGCTTACGTACCATACTTTAATTTGTTTTCATAGAACAAATTGTAAGATTAACATTTTAAGTTTTCTACTGTAGAGGTAAGCCATGCTTATTGCAAAGGTTTTACATAAAAATCAAGGGGGGAAAAATCAACAATAACCTTTCTCTCCAGAGATAACGTGGTAGCCAAAATTTTGGTGTATGACTTTCTTAAAAATGCTCAGGCACATGAGATGTTAGAGATCCTTAGAGCTCACCTACTGAAAACTAATGATGGGATTTGAAATTATAGTGGGTTTAGGAATGTCTCTTAGCACGTAAGCTCCATGAACTTCTCCCTGGCCCTGGACATACAGTAGGTTAGTAATAGCTAGAGGTAGAAGGCTAAGCGAAAGCCCTGCCAGCCTTGATCTTGGTGGTCAGAGCATTGCTGGGCACATGGATGGTCTCAATAAATGTTGGTGACTAAGTGTAGTCAGTTAATTTAGCCACTTGCTTCAGAATTCTGTATATAATTTAAAATGTGTACAGTTTTGCATATTATATGTCTACCTTGTTTACCGTTTTTTGAAATTCTTTTGCAGAAGTAGACAATGTGGCACAATGTCACATTCAGCTCGCACAGACTCTAAGAGAAGAGGCCAGGAAGCTAGAAGAATTCAGGGAAAAGCAAAAGCTACAACGGAAAAAGGTCGGGCTTGCATATGTGTTAAGATATTGCCTTTCTTTCAGTCCGTAGACCGACGCTCTACCACTGAGCCAAACCAGCTTCGGCAAGACATTGCCTTTCTTATGGTAGAATACTCAAGTTCATCCAACTCCTTGGCTCGGTTCCCACGTTCGTGTAAACATGCTCTTGTTTTAACCTATGGGATTATTTATTGGAAAACTATGTGGAGACTCATGGTTCTGTCCCCACTTACCCCCCAGGCCACTTCTTTTTACAATTTTTGCTAGATTTAGAGTTCCACCTGCTTTCCTCTTCTCATATCTGCTGCCACTATTTAAGTTCTCAGTGGAAAGGGGAACCCCCTCTTTCTTCAGTAAAGTCTAGCATAGCCACGATGGAGAGCTTCTAGATCACACTTCTCCTCCTGGACAAGGAAATAAAGCGAGGGTAAGAGGTAGAGGAGACTCACTCCGTGGAGACCAGAATGTAGTCCAAACTCTCTGTTTTACAAGTTGGGTAATCAGTTCTTGTCTTCAGAGCAGATGTACATAAGCTCTTTTCATTGGGATTTACTCTGGCCAACTACATGTAAGGAGATGCAAGTGAGCAAGTTAAGAAAACTGGAAAATATTTGGGGAAGTTATAAAGATCAAGTGTTACTTATACTAGACCAGCCACTATTCTGACTCCTTTCTATTTTTTAAAAAAAAGGTTTTTAAAACTGATTTTTAGAGAGTGAGAAATGGAGAGAGAGAGAGAGAGAGAGAGAGAGAGAGAGAGAGAGAGAGAGAGAGAGAGAGAGAGAGAGAGACATCTATGTGAGAATGGAACAGTGATATTTTCTGCACACCCCTCACTGGGATTGAGCCTGTCCCTCCCGTATGTTTAATTCCTAAAACATTGCTTTGCCTCTATTGTCATTTTGTGAGAAGCTCTTATAGCTTTGCCTTTTACTAGCCAGGAAGGCTGGAAACTATCATTTAAGGAATACCATATTAAGCACTTCCACATAAATGCAAGCTTCAGGTACCAGGTTTCAGGGGTCTCTCTGGGCCAAAGTATTTTTCAGAGCAGAAATAATATGTATATTATACCCACTATTGGATGGGAAAACTTTTTTGGCTGATATTGCCAGCCCTGCCCACCTCTTTAGAGGAATTGCAAACTTCAAGCAGCAAAATGCCATAGACCAGTGGTCGGCAAACTGTGGCTCGAGAACCACATGCGGCTCTTTGGCCCCTTGAGTGTGGCTCTTCCACAAAATACCACTTTCAGGTGTGCATGTACAGTGCGATTGAAACTTCGTGGCCTATGCACAGAAATTGGCTTTCGGCTCTCAAAAGAAATTTTAATAGCTGTACTGTTGATATTTGGCTCTGTTGACTAAAGAGTTTCCCGACCACTGCCTTAGACAACCAAGGTCCATGCACACATGATTTCCACTAAAAGGAGAGGAGGGTCATTCTTTCCCATCTTTCAAGTGCCCTGGGTAGTCCTAGTCATTTCGGAGAAAGTGTTGTTAATTTTGAAAGGCTTCTGAAACTTCCCCTCCTAACAAGTCACTGAGAAAATTCTCAGACTTAGCCACCCACATTCTGAAATCTGTTAGGCAATAGAGCAACCGGCATTCAGCCTACCCTTGTCATCCAAGTTCCCTATACATCCTAGGGTGCTCTCTACAGCAGGACAATGCCTCCTTCCCAGCTTTTTGGGAGAAGTCCCAGGTTGATCAATCCATTTGTGTATACTTGCATCACAATGAACATTGGGATGTACCAACTTCTGTATATAAATACTTAAAAAAAAATTTAAACATGGGGGAAAATATGCCATTGCTAACTTCTCATTTCCACTGATAAAACCCTGCACACTTTGGTTTTCACTTCTTGGAAATAAAGCCATTTCCACTTATCAAGGTAAGCCATCAATTGGGTTCTGTTGTTAAACTGGGGCAGGGAGGTGCATGTAGAATGGCCAGAAGTCTATGGGGTACTTACTTCTATAACTATCCGAGGGTGGTGAGCAATATGGGCGTGGTCACTGTTCCCTCACTGAGTGGTGAGCATGGCCAGAGAGACCGAGGTAGCATAATCATGGTAAAGTATGATGAACCTTAAATGGTAGGGGAGATCAAGGCCACCTGAAGGTACAGAGTGAACACCTCACCTAATGTATGGGGCTTGGAAGGCCTCCTGAGGAAGTGACCTTGAATCTAAAACCAGTAGAGTGAAAGCCAATATAGGTGAGGGTGGTAAGAGATGAAGCTCTCACTCCTGGTGGTTGGCAGGTAGGGTGGGGTCTTTGGAACTATTCTCAGGAGTCTGGGTGTTTTAGGGTACTGAGGTTTCTTCCTTGGCCCAGAATGTCCTAAGCCTGACAGGCAGCACATGGTCAGCTACTCTCTCCTCTGGTGCCCACATCATTTTACCATAGCAGCTGAGATGGGAATGACCGTGGCAGAGTTTTGTCCTGCCTGTTTAGAGAGCAATCTCCAAAGCATTACAGAGAGTGATGCTTCCAGTTTCCAGAATAGAGTCTGAGTGGGGTAGACAGACAAATAGATCGCTAAGTAGTTATTTCCATAATTAGGAAAGGGTCATTTGGGCCATTTATAAATCTCTCTTCCTTTTCCCCTCCCGCTTACTTCTCCCCACCCTGTAACAGGAGTGATTGTGTTTTTGCACTACTTTGTGTTATTAAATTTGGTCTGAGCAGAAAGTCTGAGTTCTCAAAGAAGCGCTTCTCTAAGGAAACCTAAAAGAGAACCCTTGACTTATAGGGGCCACCAAGAGTGGGGTCCCCTTTAAGTGAACCATGGACATGAGGACACTTAAATTAAGGTGGTACAGCAGGCAGAGCAGGATGTGGTGTCACCAAGTAGCCTTGAGCAAAGGTCACCAATGGTGTGAGCTCTGGGACCCAGGGTTCCAGCTGTCAGGTGAGAGAGTAGATTGCTGCTCTCCAGGATCCTACTGGTGTACAAATGTCAGGAATCTTTGAAGGCAGAGAGAGGAATGATCTGAAGTGAAAAGGTTTGGCTCATATAACTTTGTAGCCACTTGAGAGGTGCTTGAAGCAGGTGTTACGTAGAACTTTGGCATTAAGGAGGCCTGGCTTAGGCCATAAAGTATAAAATAGTCGCAGCTTCCAAACTGGAAGAATGGCAGTGTGTATATTCAGACTTGAAAGGATCATGGAATAGACCAGCATTGCTAATTGATCTGCTCCATGGAGCCAGGGAGAACCAGGAACTGTTATCAAATAAATAAATCCAGTTACTCCTCTTGGCAAACACATATAGGGGCTAATGTGAACCACACAGCTCTATGCCTGCAATGGCAAGGATGTGCCCATGAGTCCTCCATGTGGGGATCATGTTGGAGCCCTATCTGTTCTGTCTATTGTACTTTCACCATTAGCAGGTGCATAGCTACTTCTGGTCTCTCCCTTTCAGAGAAGATGATGCCTCAGTTCTCTGAGGGCCCCTTGGGGTCCCCCCAAGGGAAATTCATGTATTCTACAAAGCTCATATATATTTTAAAATATATTTTATTGATTTTTTTACAGAGAGGAAGGGAAAGGGATAAAGAGTTAGAAACATCAAAGAGAGAAACATCGACCAGCTGCCTCCAGCACACCCTCTACTGGGACTGTGCCTGCAACCAAGGTACATGCCCTTGACTGGAATCAAACTTGGGACCTTTCAGTCCGCAGGCCGACGCTCCATCCACTGAGCCAAACCAGTTTCAACCAAAGCTCATATTTGAAGTGAGATATTCTCTCCAGATATCTTGAAAATCTGTATTTGTGGGTTATGGTAACAGAGAGCAACTTAAGAAACCACATTCAACTTTAATTTTCAATATTATTTAGCATTACATCATTTTGCCCAAGAGCAATGTCATAGCTCATTTTGAATGATTGCATCTCTTGATCTTCTATCTTCCCAATTGCTTTTATAGAGCTACTATAGAGATAATGGTAGTTTATGGTCACGATTAGGAACAAGGGCACAAGAGTCGGGTTTCTGGGCTCAAATCTGAACTCTATTTGCTGAGTGTAATTAACCTCAATTTACTGTCAAGAAAATGGGAGTAAGAGTTTTAGGTATTATGATGCATGAAAACTGCTTATCACATAATGCTTGATATATTGGAGGGACTATTATGTCTGAGGTACATTTTTATTATTAGCTGCATTACTCTGACTAATAAATGTATTAATGTCACAGCTACAATAAAGAAATTGCTCCCAAGTGAACACAACAAAGTAGTTTACCTTACCTGGAACAGCCTGGTTGTTGTGACTCAGTGGTTGAGCATCGATCTATGAACCAGAAGGCCATGGTTCAATTCCTGATCAGGGCTCATGCCCTGGTTGCTGACTCAGTCCCCAGTGGGGGGGAGGGGGCATGCAAGAGGCAGTTGATTGATGATTCTCTCTTATCAATGTTTCTATCTCCCTCTCTGAAACCAATAAAAATATATGTTTTTAAAAAAAGAGTGGGAGAACAGCTTCTTTTCGCTGTCCTACAAACATTTCTTCCCTTCATTCTGTCCAGGCTCCTGGCTGGGTAAGGGTGTGTCACTGATGAATGCCACGGAAGTGAATGTTTGTAAGTCTCTAATTTAACTGTGCCCATATAAGCTTACAGAAAAAAGACCCCTTTCAAAATATAAAGGGCACTTTAACAAAAGTTAAAAAAGTCTTTTTTTCACACCAAAGTTTCTTGATCTCAGAGTTGCTGAAGCGACTGTTCTAAGGTGATGAATGTTTCACAATGGTGGCTGCCCAAGTTCAAAGACGGACCTCCTCCATCAATCAGCCATAGGACCTTGGGCAACTTGTTCAACCTTTTTGCTGCAGTTTCCTCACTTGTGAAATAATAAATAGTACATCTACCTTCTGGGTTGTGTGAGGACTCAGTGAGATAATCCATCTTGAACACAGCCCTCAAGACAAGATGGAATTAACAATATTTTCTGTTTTTATTAATAGTGCTTGTGTTCTCTTCACAGACAGAGCTTATAATGGATGCTATCCACAAACAAAGGAGCGTACAATTCAAGAAAACCATGGATGTGAGTTTCATTTTATTGCCTTTTCCTGAAATCTTGTCCTACTCAAATAACATTTCAATAATGTTATTTGTTAATGCAATGCCTTTTTTAGTGATATCACTTTTCTTCTTTTTAAAGCCTTGAAAAAATTGATGATGAAACTAGGTAGTAGGAACAATCTTATCTTTCTAGTAACCTGGGAAAGTATAGCAAGCTAATTTAAATATTTTAGGCCAAGACACAAAATTATATATATATATATATATCACTAGTGCCCCAGTGCGTGGATTCGTGCACATTGAAAGGAAATTAATTAAAAGGGGACCAGCGGGGCAGGACTGGATGAGACAGGTGGGACATCCCTGGATCCAGCCTCCCATGGTCCCTCCCAGGCCAGCAGCTGGTGCCATGGCTTGAAGGTTATCTGTTGAGTGAACGGAGGTCCCTCCGGCAAGTGGGTTCCCTTAGCCTGGCCTGCTAAGGGGATAGGGCTGAAACTGGCTCTCTGACATCTCCCGAGGGGTCCTGGATTGCGAGAGGGCAGTTTTTGGGTGATGCACTCTGAAATCAGGCTCCCTCCTCTCTGGTTCTGGGTGCATCACCGAGAACCCCCATTGCCAAGCCATGGCAGTGAGGTAACTCCTGTGCTGAGCATCTGCCCCCAGGTCAGTGTGCATCATATCTATCAGCTGGTTGGACAGTGGGATGGTTGTTTAGCCTTTTATATATATAGATATGATCCCATTTATCTCCCCCCCTCCCATTTATCTTGTTGGATTTGAGCTCCCCTCTGTGACTATTCTGAATCTTGATTTCTTTTTTTTCCCCAAAAAATATTTTTTAAAGCCTCACCTGAAGATATGTCTTTATTGATATTTATTTATTTTTTTAAATATATTTTTATTGATTCAGAGAGGAAGGGAGAGGGAGAGATAGAAACATCAATGATGAAGGAGAATCATTAATTGGCTGCCTCCTGCACGTCACCTACTAAGGATCAAACCCACAACCCAGGCATGTGCTCTGACCAGGAATCGAACTGTGACCTTCTGCTTCATGGGTTGATGCTCAATCACTGAGCCACACTGGGGGGGATGGGTTCCATATTTTATAGTTACATAGGTCTTTTTATTTTTCCCATATGAAATGCCATCTTTTGTTCTGATCAGTTTTCAACACTCATGCACTTTGTTTGCCAAGTGAGTTTTTATTTCCTTGCTCAGGCTGCCACTATGTACATAATTTGGAAAAGGGCTAGAGAGATGTTTCAGCGATAGACAAGAAAGGGCATCTGCCTTCTGAGCAGCCATGTTCTAGTGGTAATCACAGACCTATTCAGGGTACCTTGTATTCGCTGGGCTTGGCAGGCTAGGATGGCTGCTTTTCAGGGTTATGTTCTGCTTACCTATTTTGGTCCTCTTTTGGCTCATAACAACTAAGGCAAAGAAGAACTATGAGCAGAAATGCCGAGATAAAGATGACGCAGAGCAGGCTGTCCACCGAAGTGCCAACTCGGTAAACCCGAAGCAACAAGAAAAGGTACCTGGGAGGGCTGACCACTTGAAAAAGCTGAGATTTATCTCAAGCTAAAGCCAATTAATGATCTTAATTAAAATGGACCTGCTCCCCAAACTTCTGGCAATATCTTCCTTTAGGCTAATTAGGATCCTCTGAGCCAGGAAAACCCTTCACATGTTTAGGGATGTGGAAGAGCTAGAGAAAGGAGGCCATGAGGGAGGGAATGGGGTGATAAGTGGGGGAAAGAGTTTTGATTTTTTTTTTTAAATCATCTTTCTTCAAAGCTCAACTCATGTATTCTTTGTAGCCAGGCTGCCTCCTGCTTGGGTGCATTATAAATTTAATTTTATAAAATCTGGATATGAGATTGGCAGTAACCAGAAGGCAGGAGTATGGTTTTAGGAAGATGTAGGACAAGATGCTTGATGGATGGATATTTTGCAACTGTGAACGGTTAGAGGGCAAGTTGAATGATTTGCTCATGAGAGAACCCTAGGTAAGGCTTGTACTAGCGCTTGTCTCTGTGCAGCCATTACTTTTAGATCTGTTTTGCCTGCAGAATCCTGGCCTACCATTCCTGGTCCCTTGATCATTTTTTTTTTGTGTGTCCCCACAGCTTTTTGTGAAACTGGCAACTGCGAAGACAGCCGCCGAAGACTCCGGTGAGGGTGGCTCTCGGGATGGGGGAGGATTGTGGTGGGGTTTACCTTATCCTAAACCTGTCCGAGAAAGGTGGTCTGGTATACCTAACAATGAAGAACACATGGCTATACAATGGGCTTTCAGAAGGGAGAAACAGGAAGTGGGGAAGGAAGGGAAGAAAAGGTAGCGAAACTGAGGAAGTGAATGGCCAGCAGTTTCTGGCCAAGGCTTGCTCAGTCTGGTTGCTGTACATGTCACAGGATGGAGATGGTAGGGGCACGTGGCAGCTGCTTTGTGATCTGGGCTCACTCTGATAATTTTTCCTGGGGCATCTATTTAAAAAGCGCATTTCAGCCCTGGTTAATTCGTACCTGCAATGAAAGAAACAGCCATGTCTGGAAGCCTCATCAGCATTGAATCTAAGGCCCAAGCTTTTAATCCCCAGCTTGTCTGGCAGGACATAAACCTCTCATGACCACGGTCACTTAAGAAGTCTCTAAACCCAAAACTAAAGTAACTAGGTGCCCTTTTGGGCTCAAGGTAGATCTCTGCATCTGTCATTGGGTACATTTCCTGGAAATGAACAGGGGTAGAAACTATTGAGGTGGAATTAGACTAAGCAAACTCTGACCGAGGTTCCCCCGCCGCTCTCACTTCTCCTTGCTTAAGATCATTTCTCGCTAATTGCTTGGTTCCGTGAGCATTTCACAAAGCTGTTATGAGGGTGCGCAATGTGATGATGGCCTTCCAGTGATCAGAGCTCATGGAGCCTGGTGTGCTCACTGCGACTTTCATTGAAGAGCCTGGGGGGGGGGGGGGGGGGGGCGGGGTCTGCGAGCTGCCCCTGCCCTTTTCTGAGCCCACGCCCCTCCCCTTCCTTGCAGACAAGGCGTATATGCTGCACATCAACACACTGGATAAGGTCCGAGAGGAGTGGCAGAGCGAGCACATCAAGGCCTGCGAGGTAGCCCAGCCGGACGCTGCTCAGGAGGGAGCGGGTCTTGGTTCCAGAACTCGGAGAGTCTATTTTTGCAGAAATGTGCCATCATCCGCTTATTATATCTACCAATTCTGCTAGAATTGCTCCAGGGAAGATTGGAAATCAGAAGATTAAGTGGAGGATGGGAGGAACTGGCATGTTTCCCCTTAAACCTCATTCTTCTCTCTCTTTCCTCCTCTGTCCAACCCTGTTCAAGGCCTTCTATGTTCCGATAACACAGGCATGAAACAGATGAAACAATTAATAGTTAATTAATTACTTAGAGAGCCTCACGTGCACTTGGTAAGTGACAAGGAAAATGCAGACGGCCGGTGAGCAGGCTTCAGAATGTGTTAGCTTCCTTCCACCTTTGATTTCACCGTTGACTCCCCCCTCTTCATTTTCAGCACATTTTGTTCTCAAGAGAAAATAAGACATGACCCACAAACTTCCTCAATTTTCAGTTACACATTGTCTTACCAGAGGTTCTCAAGCTGAGGTGCCATTAGCACCACCGAGGAACTTGTTTGACCAACTGCAGACCTCCTGACTCAGAAATTCTGGAAGTCGGCCCAGTAACCTGTGTTAAGAAGCTCTGCTGATGATTCTGATGCCAATTCAAACTTGAAAACTGCTGACCCACACACCCCTTCCCTCCTTTTCTCCTGATACAGCCCAGAGTGGCTGCTCCCATCCCCTGGGCTCAGGATCCCATCCAGCTGCCTTGTGCACAGCTCCATTTTATGGGGCTTTCTTCCATTATCATTTACGCAAACCCAACTCACTCTTGGCTTTAAAACTTAGCAGCCATCGCTTCCCGTCTCTATTGTTTTCTCTCCTTACAGCCCGGCTTCTTAAAGGAGCTGTTTCCACATCCCACAGCTCCTACCTGTCCCACCTATTGTTCCTGGGGTTTGCTCCCTGCCCTGCCCTCTCAGAGGAATCAGTGATCCCCTTGGTGTAAGGTCCAGTGGCCTGCTTCTAATGTTCCGTTAGCACAGGCATGAAACAGAGGAACCAATTAATGGTTAAGTAATTACTTAGAGAGCCTCGCATGCACTTGGTGTGTGATAAGGAAAATACAGGAAATGTTGCAGTTTCTAATCTTAGTTGACCTGTCTTTACCATCTGACACTGTGGGTCACTCGCCCTCTTTTAAAATACTCTTTGTTGTTGTTGCTTCTTACTCTTCATCGAGGATATTTTTTCCATTGGTTTTAGAGAAAGTGAAAGAGAGGAGGGGGAAGAAAAAGAGAGAGAGCATGAGAGAGAGAGAAACATCGATGTGAGAAGGACACATGGCTGGGTTGCCTCCTGTACTTGCCCTGACCAGGGCCTGGATCAAACCTGCAACCCAGGTATGTGCCCTTGACCGGGAATCAAACTCAAGACCCTTTGGTGGGTGGGCTGATGCTCTAACCACTGAGCAGACTGGCCAGAGCTAAAACACTATTTTTTGCTTTACTTCCTTAACTCCACACTCTCATAGGAAAGCGTGGAGTAAAGCCATTTTTATAAGGTTTGAGAACATGTAAAGCAAGGCATATTATAAAAACATGCATGGGAATGATAAAATTTAGGACAATGGTTATGTCTGGGAAAGGCGGAGGGTGACAGAGATTGGGAAAAGCACACAGGAGCTTTAACAGAATCTGAAGCACAGTTGGTCAAAATTTTTTACAAAGCTGGGTGGTTGGTACATGGGAATTCATTACAGTATCTCTCCACTCTTGTATATGTTTAACATTCTACTCTGTAAAATGTTGTATTCAATATTTTAAAAATACATGAATATATTACATTCATTGTTGAATAGAATAGCATCCGTTTTATAGAATAGCTTGATTTTCCAAAAGTTGTTATTTACGTGAAAAACAAAACAAAACTTGTTCAGACAATAACTTAAAAACCTTCACAACTTTAGAAGACAAGTGCAAGGACCCCCATATACTCATCAACTAGCATCAACAATTATGATCAATTGACCAATCTTGCCAATTGAATTCATTCATTAAGGGGGTGGATGGGGGGGGAGGGGCAAAGTTTTGAACTGAGTTCTGGCAGGCTGCCTTGGTGGAGATGCCCCTTAGGCAGTTAGAAATGTGAGCTGGAATCTGGTTAGAACCAGGGTATCTGGATTCATCATAGCTGCTTACCTTCAGAATTATACCCTCTTTCATTTGTGTTAATGCCATATGGGACTCCATCTGCATTCTTTGGTGAGGAGAGTACCCTAAGTGGACAATAAGTTTGGATACCTGAGGGGTGACACTGTTTCTTAAGTCATAGCCAATCTAGACAAATGGCCCCTTTCTCTGCATATGTATTCACATGTGGTTATGTTTCTCTAGGTGCTTGAAGCTCAAGAATATGAACGAATAAACTTCTTTCGGAACGCATTGTGGTTACATGTGAATCAGCTGTCAAAACAGTGTGTCACCAGCGATGAGGTAAGTCAGCGGCATCCATTGGCATGGAAGGAACTGTAGACATTTATTAGTTCACCCCTCTCAATTGAAATGCAGAGAGGTTCAGTGACTTATCCAGGGCCACTTAACCTGTTGGTTGATAGAGGCACCCAGTTAAGCACCTAACCTGCCTGTCTCTTGGCCTATTTTACTGCTATGACTTTTTCTTTAAGAAATTCAGAGCAGGAGGGCAGGGTAAGAACATCTTAAATACAGTTTAATATATGGAAGACAGAAGTGTTACACCATGAATGTGAGTCCCAAGGGGTACTCCAGGACAGCACCAAGTACTAGCAGCTGACTGATGCCCTGGCTAATGGTCACTCCAGGATTCAGGTTTTATTTCAAGCATTCCTGGGCATTATTCAAGTTCAATTTGGGCACAGTAATCCTCATGGGAAACCTAGATCTCAGAGGGACCAGAATCAAGTTATCGCAACCTTCTTTGCTAAGAAATAGCCACTCTCACTCAGACGATGCATTCACTTTAGAACAGTGGTACTCAACCTTCCTAATGCCACGACCCCCAACCATAAAATTATTTTTGTTGCTACTTCATAACTGTAGTTTTGCTTCTGTTATGAATCATAATGTAAATATCTCTGTTTCTCGATGGTCCTAGGCGACCCCTGTGAAAGGGTCGTTCGACTCCCAAAGGGCTCATGACCCACAGGTTCAGAACTGCTGCTTTAGAAGAACAGTTAAACACAAAGAAAACCTGTAGGATGGAATGGAAGAACTTTTCCTTAAGTAATTGTCTTTGTGTCCCTGTGTTTCATTGGTCTTGGGACTTGGTATCTGTTTACTTTGCCCCATCAGCATTTAAAAAAAAACCAACAAAACAAAAACCTTTCCAAAATAAAATTTGGAAATGAGTCAGCCAGATATCAAAGCCTCTGTTTTAATAAGCCACATCACATGTTTTATGGAATCCCTCTTCCTGGATGTATCTTTTGTTGTTAGATGTATGAAGAAGTCCGTAAGAGTTTAGAGATGTGCAGCATCGAGAAGGACATTGAGTACTTTGTGAATCAACGGAAAACTGGACAGACTCCCCCAGGTGAATGGAGCGGCGGGGGCGGGGCTTCATTTCAGCAATTCTCTTGTCATATGTTGTTGACAGTGGAAGACGTCTGCCTCTTCATGTTTTGTTTCTTGATGCCTCTAGCACCCATCATGTATGAGAATTACTACTGCCCCCAGAAGAATGCAGCCCCATCGGGAAAGGCTATGGGGCAGAACTTAGCAAGGTAATGACCAGCTTCTTTTCATGTGAAGAAAAATACTTTTAATAAACTTTTGTTTGGGGGGGTCATTAGTGTACTAAGACATCAGCATGGAAACATAGCTACCGTTGCATTTGCTAGATTTTTGGAAATAGCTATTTTAGGGCAAATGTGAAATGGATTTCTCCAGTCATAGCTCAGAGAGGACAATATCATTCCCGAATGTGAATTTTATTATTCATGCATGAGTCCTATGCCATTCTCATCGCCTGCAGAGAGTAGGAGTCAGCAAACTCTGGACCTGCCTGTTTTGGTAGTGCCTGTGAGTATTTTATGGTTGAAAAAAATTAAAAGAATACTGTCCTATGACATGAAAATTATATGAAATCCAAATTTCTGTATTTGTCTATAAAGTTTTTTTCTTTTTTCTTTTACTTTTTTCCATTATTATTTATTCCCTATACCCTTTTCCATCCCCTTTCCCCCCTTAAGTATATAAAGTTTTTATAAAATATGTGTTTATTGATTTTAGAGACAGAAGAAGGGAGAGGGAGAGACAAATATTGATCAGCTGCCTCCTGCATGCAACCAAGCTCCTACTGGGGATTAGGCCTGAAATTCAGGCCTGTGCCCTGACCGGGAATTGAAGTGGTGACCTCTGGTGCATGAGATGGCATCCTGCCACCTGAGCCACACCTGCTAAGGCTATATAAAGTGGTATTATAATATAACAAGGCCAAACTGTTTGTTTGCATTCTGTCTATAGCTGCTTTCCCACTAGAGTTGACTAGAGTTGCAATGACTATACAGGAAAAGTGATTGTAGCCAGCAAAGCCTAAATCACTTACCATCTGGCTCTTCACAGAAAAGTTTGCTGCCCCAACATAAAACATCCTGAAAGAAGAGGAACTTTTGTTTTATATACAGTCATTTTGAAGTCTAAGTTGTTGAATTTTTTAAAAAATATATTTTATTGATTTTTTACAGAGAGGAAGGGAGAGAGATAGAGAGCCAGAAACCTCAATGAGAGAGAAACATCGACCAGCTGCCTCTTGCACACCCCCTACTGGGGATGTGCCCGCAACCCAGGTACATGCCCTTGACCGGAATCTAACCTGGGACCTTTCAGTCCGCAGACCAACGCTCTACCACTGAGCCAAACCAGTTTCGGCAGTTGTTGAATTTTCAATACAATTTTTAAAAAGATAATGGGATGGGTTTTTTGGGGGGGGAGGGGGGGAAGGGAGAGAGGAAATGGCATGACCATCATCATTATTCAAAAATAGTTCATAGAAATTAGCTCTTCTAATCCTCACAGTGAGTTAGGAGCTGTTTGTACTTCCCATTTCACACGCGAATGTGCCCATGTACAAGATCGGGAAGTCTTGCCCACACAACTGAGATGTTCCTCCTGCCAGTCTGGTTGTGGGAATAGGGCCCTGTGCGTCTGACCACGGTGCATCTCACTCCTCAGCATAGCAGAATGTCTGCTTCTTGCATTCCAGTGTCAGTGCTGCAGGCCTTTGGCTTCATTAGAACTTTTCTTGATCTTCTAAACAGAAGCTAGATCTGAGGAGACTGCAAAATGCTTGTTGTGTGATGTAAAAACTAGGAAAACAAGAACTTCCCTGAAAGACTGTGGTTTTCATTTCTTACAGGAGAGGACCTCTCCCGATTCCTAAGATACCAGGTATGCCAGCAAGAAAGACATTTGGAAATGCTTGTCAGGGTTTCTTTAAGGTTGAGTAGCTAGAATTGTGAAATAAAGGGAAAGAAGGGAATAGTTAGAAATTCTGAAACAATAAGTCTATATTAGAATCTTACTGTAATGCTATGTGTCACACAGAGGAATTTGGTAATTGATGTCTATTTTATAGATAGCCAAGAGAATTTAGCTCCTGGAGTGTCAAAAGGAATTTCCTAGAAGGCAGTCTGACTTAAGAGATTATTTTATCTTATATATCTTATGCATTGCCCATAATCGAATTTTTCACTAGCCACTAGTCTTCCCTTCTCCCTCCAAACAGTTACCATATCTCTGGGAGAAACATGCATGTTAGCATTTTTTGTTAGTTGTATTCTTTGGATAATGAGGAGATCCTTGAGGGCAGGCACTTTTCATTTTCCTGTACCACTCATAATACCTAACACAGTACTGGGCATATAATAGGGACAGAACAAATATCTATATTTGAATAAAAGAAAGGTATACCTAACTATGTTCAAGGGAATGAGGGGAGAAACAGCTACTGCTGCATGAAGCAGCTTAGAAAAAATTTAGTAACTGGGGGAAAAATTAATGGCTGAAATTATATCTTTGAAGAACATAAGGATTTACATTATTTTATTTCTTGTTGTCTTATAATTACATAATAACATGGGATTTATTTTTGTTCACATTTGAAGATGACTTTACTGTAGGGGCAGCTAGCTAGACATGGATGAAAAAGGGCAAAAAAAAAAAAAAAGGAATTTCCAGAATATTCTCTGGTTTGTAGTCATGACTACCATTTGTAGGCTTTACAAAAGAGCAATCACTGGAATCTTTGAATTAAGTACTTTGATTTGACAGGGCTAAGATCCTATGAAAAAAATGTTGGCTTCATGTTGCTCTGTGTTTTGCTCTTTGCAGATGACCCAGATTATTCTTTGGTTGATGACTACAGTTTGATCTACCAGTAACATCAATGGTAAGAGCCATTAATTTTTACATCATCAAGGTGTATTTAGACTGGTGATAATATTTTTGAAGCCTTTGGTGCTTTTTTGTTTGTTTGTTTGTTTGCTTTGAATTCTCACCAGAGGATACCTTTTTTTCATTGATTTTTCAGAGAGAGGGTAAGGAAGAAAGAGGAGGAGGTGTGGAGAAGGACAGAGATAGAGAAACATTGATTGGTTTGCCTCCCACACCTACTTTAGGCCATGCTCTTCGTATATGCTTTTGGCTGGTAATTGACTCCATGACCTTTTGGTTCCTGGGCTGACCCCATGACCTGCTGAGCCAAACTGGCCAGGGCTGATGCTTCTTTGTAACACAACTGCACGCAAGCAAGTTCTTGGGCCAGGCGTGCTGGTGGGTGTGGTGTTCCTGCAGGGTGACTTCTTTGGATTCACCACTGAAAGGGAACTGGAGACCACTCCATACCTATTTGAATGAGGGTAGTTTCCCTTCATTCATTATTCTACAACCCTTTCTCTTGCTCTCATTAAGCTCTTTTGTGGCTATTACTCATCTACATTAAAAGCAATGCTCATAAGCAAAACACACATGATCTTCACCTTTTTATTCCCCAAAGGGGAAAAATAGAGTAAAAAGAAATCAATAGAAATAATGCAAATATTAGTACACTTACCAAACACATAAAGGCATCATAGGGTCATCCTGCACCAGATTACTACTGCTCTGAACCAGCAAACCACAAGGATTCCTAGAGTAGGACTACTAAGACAACTGTCGCTGCAAAGATGATTCATATTCTTTGGCATTCAAGTGCTTGCAACATGCCTCAAGTCACTGTCAGTCTTCACAAATGTTTCAAAATGCCTTCGAAGCCAAAATAGCAATATCAAATGGAATTTCTCATAAAGTATAATTTTTAACCCAATCAGGCATATCTTGGGGTAGATATGCATATATATATATATATATATATATATATATATATATATATATATATATATTCTGAAAGGTTATGTTCCCAAACAAGTAATAGTTTTTCTTTTTGTTTGACTCTTTGTTTTAATTTGTCTGCAATGAAAATTTATTACTTTAATTAAAAACTGTTTTAAAGAATTGATCTCCTTGCCCTGGCCTGTGTGGCTCAGTTGGTTGAGCATCATCCCATGCCCCCAAAAGTCACCAGTTTGATTCCCATTCAGGGCACATGCTCTGATTGTGGGCTTGACCCCCAGTACAAGAGGCAGCCAATGGATGTTTCTCCCTCTACCCCTCCCTCTTTCCTCCCTCTCCCTTCTTCTTTCTCTAAAATTAATAAAAACATATTAGAAAAAGAATTGACCCTCTTGCATATTTTCTCCTTTTATTTATTTCTTTTTATTTGGCCAATGCAGATTTATTGCTCATTCCCAAAATATACAATTTAACATTGACAGCTTCAAATACTCTTCCTACTAATTCTCTAGCATATTTCTGATCTTAGTTCCTGGGAATGATAGGAGAGGCAAATAGGATGCAAGAAGTTATAATGGAAGGGGAGCAATCTCTCTGCCCCCTTCCTGGTTTTGTGTACAACATAGTGGTTGGACAGTCATATACTTTACATAGTGTTCCCCCTGATATTTCAAGTACCCACCTGACACTGTACATAGTTATTACAATATTGTTGACTCTATTCTCTATGCTGTACTTTATATCCCCAAAACAGATGATAACTTTTGAATTAAAAAATATGTGTATCAAAAATATAAATACATGTATTATCCTATATAATAAAAGGGTAATATGCAAATTGATCAAATGGCAGAATGAATCGTCGCTATGACATGCACTGGTCACCAGGGGGCAGATGCTCAACGCTGGAGCTGTGCCCTGGTGGTCAACGCGTTCCCACAGGAAAGTGCTGCTCAGCCACAAGCTGGGCTGATGGCTGGTGAGTGCAGCAGCGATGGCGGGAGCTTGCCTCCATGGGAGAAATGAGGATGTCTGCCTGCAACTTATGCCTAAGCTGTCAGTTGGAAATTCCCTGAGGGCCCTCCTCTCCCGCCCCCAGTGCACGCATGTCCTGACTGGGCCTCTCATTTCCCATAAACGGATGGATGCTATTATCACATCTCATTTATCATTTGGAATACCCATTTCTTGCCATGTGTTTTCCTTTATTCATGTTGAGTAAAATTTCAAGGTAGGGTCAGGGTGTGGAGGTGAATGGTCAATTCAAATGACATTTCTTTGCTATTTTCTTTCAGAAAACAGAGATTTTTCTGGCTGGTGCTTCTCTGGCACTGAAGGGGGCACTCAAAGCAGCCGAATCCCTGGAAATTATGTCAATCCTGAGGACTTTGAAGTTAACCCTGCTATAATTTTTTGATATTTTAAATTCATGGTAGACATTTAGTTTAACCTAGCTAATAGAGTTCTGCAGTTTCTAAAAGAAGTCGACAAACTGGCCGAGATTCAAGGATGATCCTTTCCCAATCAGTTACTAAAGTTGTGGATGAATTGCATTTCTTACTTGAGCTAGAACAGTCTCTGGTTTTGGAGCCTGACTCTTGGAGGATGGAGAACTCTGGAGAGGTGTCTGAGCATCAGCCTGCACAAGTAGTTCCTAGGGCTTTGGGATAGCGTGCTACGGCACTCCCACAGTGACACACTCTCAAAGGGCAAGATTTAAAATCACCTTCCTTTTTGGCTTGAAGACTTAGAGGTCCACTGATCGCATTTTCTCATTTTACAAGTGAGGAACTGAGGCCCAAAAGTGTCAAATCAATTTCCTTATTATTGTCCCAGCTGGTTCTGGACAGAACCAGAACGAGAGTGTGAGCTCAGACCACATCAGCCTCCATGTGGTTCTTCTAACCCTTCCTGAGGGTGCTGCTGCTCATGTTGAAATGTCAGACGCCAAATGTTTCTGCTGGCATCTTCTCAGTTGGGAAAATTACCAGGGTTTAAATGTCAGATTTATTTTTATGTGGCTTATTGTGTCTCCTGAACTACACAGCACCATATTTAATTGAATGAAGAAGCATCTAGTATAAAATATATTATTGTATATACCATTAAGAAAGAAGGGTGTGAGAGAGTTGACAGTTAACTTGTGATAGTTAATTGGCCAAGCCCATTTGAATTGGAGATGCTAAAGTTGTAAAGAAAAAAGTACATCCTAGAATCAATGAGATATGATATTTTGACTATTAATTGAAGAGAAACCTAGAGTTACAAAGCCAGCCCTCAGTCCTGGGTCTTCTTTAAAGCATCAACCTTACCCTTTCACAAAAAAAACCCCCGGATCTTCTTTTGTCTCCTTCAAACAATAGGGAGATTATGTGCCTTTTATACAACACTCACGCACTGAGAAAGCAGTTCATTTTAATTCATGACAAGTTAAAATAGCACCAGTACTCATTCAGTTGTTGTAAAATTCCGTTCCCACAAGGCAAATATCGTCTTCTCCTGCTCTGTGCAGTAGCTTTCCCAGAGCTATGGGCAAGTTGATAGGAAGAAGCTGGATTATTTTCCCTCTTTTCATGTAAGGTGCTAATGAAAGTGGCAGCTCCTTGTCATGACAGGAAACTCGCAGCAGTTGGATTTCCTTTTGAGAAATTGAAGTTTGCAAAGAGCCATTGACTTCCCCAAATTGAACGATCTCAGGACATTTTCCTTCGAACTCAGCACATCCTGAGTGCTTTATTTATTATGGGTAATTCCTCAGGGATTTCACTTTTCTATTAGTAAGTGTGATTGATGTAAAAGTGTTTTATGAATTGAACAGTATTTTTATTTTAAATGCTCTTTCAGTTTGATATAAGTAAAATAAAGGTTCTTGGTGATTTGGGACTTACTTTGCATTTTTGTGTTAATCATATCTCTCTCCCAAGTGCTGTTTGGCCCTTTGCCACACTTGCCATGGTTAGAATACAGAAGGATAAACTGCCATTGAGGGAACCCACATGGAGGCTGGTACCATGCCACTTTCTACTAATCCTCCAGGTGCCAGCTTCAAAGCCACTTCCTCAGGGACCCCACTGCTGTACCCTTTCTCCTTCCCACATTTTTCTTGTTAATTACATGATTCACTCTTGAAATCAGTTGTTCAAGGTTGGGCTTCCCTCTTAGACCTTAACCTCCATGAGAGCAGGGCCCCTTTGTATCCTTTTTCCACCTGCATCCTGACACCATGACACATACCTAAATATATATAATAGCCTAAGCGACCCTTATGGCAGAATGACCTGAATGACTGGTCGCTATGATGTGCACTCACCACAGGGGGCAGATGCTCAATGCAGAAGCAGCCCCCTGGCCCTGGTTTAAGCTCCTTTCTGGCCACATGCCACTTGGCACACTGCTATATCCCCCAAGGGGTCCTGGACTGTGAGAGAGATGTCCAACCGCTGGCTTAGGCCTGATCACTATGGGGATTGGGCCTAAATTGGCAGTTGGACATCCCCTGAGGGGTTGCAGATTGTGAAAGGGTGCAGGCCAGGCTGAGAGACACCACCGCCCCCATGCTTTTATTTTGTGCACTGCGGCTCTAGTTAGTAAATATGAAAGAATAGTGACCTAGAAGAGAACATAGGGAAACAGCCAGTGGAGAAATAGAGTGTAAAGGGAACAAAGGCAAATACATATTAAACTTAGTAAATATGAGCTACTCTGCTGACTGTTGGTATCTTTTTTTAAAAAAAAACACCAAAAACACATATTTTTATTGATTTCAGAGAGGAAGGGAAAGGGAGAGAAAGATAGAAACATCAATGATGAGAAAGAATCACAGATTGGCTGCTTCCTGCATGTCCCACACTGGGGATTCAGCCTGCAACCTGGGCATGTGTCCTGACTGGGAATCAAACCGTGACCTCCTGGTTCATAGGTCAATGCTCAACCACTGAGCCATGACACATTTGGGCTGACTGGTGGTATTTTAAATGTGTCTGCAAACAGTGTAGAAATATATATAATAAAAAGTTAACACTCCTCACCCTAGAGTTAACCATTATTAATC